TGGTCAGAACCAGTGTAACTATAGCCAGTTGTGAACCTGTGACAGGTTATTGTGCCCAGGGCACCTTGGGCCAGAGGCCAGTGTCTCTGGAGGGTAGTATACCTGGCTGCCCGTATCTTCCACATGGGTCAAACTGAGTCTCACTGGGTCACCTCAGTCCTGCATGGGGGCTGCCATTGTGGCGAGTCCAGGCACGGGTCTGGTGCTCTAAAGAGAACATGATGCCCACATCATTGATGCTTTTTCCATTCCAGAAGCTCTCTGCAGTGTGCGGTGGCTTACTGTGCCTCCTGTGTCCCATACAGAGCAAGTGTGTTGTTGAACTGCTGCAGTTGTTTCCATAGTGAGGCTTACCATATGGATATTCTCCCAATGGTCCAGTGCTGCGTGGCCTAAGGGGACTGGAGATTCGGTAGCACTTTAGGAATGGCATGTGAAGCTGTGCAAAAGGGACTGTTTACAAGGACCTGAGCAGGACATAGGGAGCCCACAAGGACAGTGCAGTACCCTTGCCCAGGTAACTGCAGGGATGCTACCACCCCAGGCCCAAAGACATCCTAAGGACAGAGTCATGTAGCGAGAGCTCCTTGAGACCCTCGTAGTCCAAGGCTAGCCTGAGTTGAGCCCTCAGGAAGAACCTAGGGGAATAAGCACTTCAATCTTCTTTCCTCTGGGCTTCCAGAGATCCCCATTGGTCAAGCCCACCTGGAGATCACATTGCCAGGGAACCCGAAGATGCCATCCATGTAATTTAGGCCTCTGGCAGAAAAGTCAGAAAAGAGATGGAAACTGGACCCAGAGGGGCAAGAAGATGTGTGACCCACAAGAAAGGGTTGTGATTTTAAATAAGGAATCTTCACTAAGGAGTTATTCGAGCAAACATTTGAAGGGGTAGAGTAACTCACCTGCTTTGGTCTGAGTGTATCCCCCAAAATTTGTATGTTGGAAACTTAATCTCCAGGGCAGCAATATTGGAAGGTGTAGCCTTTGGGAGGTGCCTAGGTCGTGCATCCACTCTCCTGAGTGGGTTGACGCTGTTACCAAAAGGTTCGGCAAAGACAGTTCATTCCTTTTTTGCCCTTCTACCTTCTGCCATGTGAGAAGATAGCATTCCTCCCCTCCGGAGGATGGAAAGTTCAAGATATCATCGTGGAAGACCACACCTGTAGGTACCTCCTACAGGTACCTCCTACTTGACCTTGCCAGCCCCTAGGATTATGAGAAATGCATTTTTGGCCCCGCATAGTAACATATGCCTAGAATCCCAGTACTCTAAGAGGCTGAGGCACACGGATTGCAAGTTTGAACCCAACCTGGGCAAGTTAGTAACTTAGAGATCCTTTCTCAAAATAAAAAATTAAACAAGGCTAGGGATGTATCTTAGTGTGAAGGTCCTGGGTTCAATTCCCAGTACTAGGAAAACTCAACAAAACAAGTGAACTTATGTACCTTATAAATTCTCAGGCATTTATTTATAGCAGTATAAAATAGACTAAGACAGGAACTGGTGGCAGAGGAGTGGGCGTTCTTAACAACACCTCAAAGTATGGAAGCAGCTTTGGAACTGAATAATGGGTAGAGGCTGGGAGAGTTTTGAAGTGCACACTGGAAAAGCCTGTATTACTATGCCCAGAGGCTTAAGGCCAGCACTGGTGAGGGGCAGAGGAGGAGAAAGCTAGAGGGAAACCTCAGTCTTCCAGAGATGGCTTGAACAGTCATGATGGCGAAGACCATTCTGATGCAGTCTCAGACAGAAAAGGACAAGGTATGGGAACCTTGTGCCGGGCGTGGTGGCACAGGCCTGTAATCCCAGCACTCGGGAGGCTGAGGCAGGAGGATCGTTTGAGTTCGAGGCTAGCCTGGGCTACAAAGTGAGCTCAAGGCCAACCTGAACTGCATAGCAAGACCCTATCTCAAATAGACACACACACACAAAAAAAGGTATGGGAACCTGGAAGGAAGATCATCCTCGCCATCAAGTGACAAAGAGCTTGTCTGAATTGAGTCTGTATTCTAGATCTTTATGGAAGGCAGAACTTAAGAGCGATTAACTAGAGCATTTGGCAGAGGAAGTCTTTAAGCTCCAAAGCATTCAGAATGCTGCATGGTCCCTCTTCAGTAATTACAGTGAAATGTGAAAAGACCAAAGTGATTTTTTAAAAAGAGTACGATTTGCAATTAAAAGGAAAATATTCCATAAAGACTTGGAAAATTTTTAGCCTGAGTAAAGAACTGAAGAAGTGTAGTTAGCAGAGAAAACAACTGTGGCCAAGCAACTGTTGGATAAGGATATTAGAGTGGACAGAGCGAAGCCAAATGCTTTATAAATTATCTGATATCAAGTATAATCTTTATTATCTAATATCAAGTATTTTTTTACAGTAGCACAAACAGACTAAGACACCATCTGTGATCGATAAACTTTATGGTGTCAACTTGACTGGCTTAGCAGCTACCTAGGGCATTATTAGTAAAGCATATTTCTGGGTGTACCTGGGTAGGTCATTGAGGTGCGACCTTTAGTACTATATGTGGTCCCTGGCCCCTTCTTCTCGGGCATTATTCCCCTACTCTGCTCTCTTGCTGCCATGAACTAAGCATCTTTGCTCTGTCATACCCTTCCTCCATGATGTTTCTGCCTTGACACCACCTAACCATGGACTGAACTCCTGAAACTGTGAGTTAAATTAAACTTCTCCTTTAAATTGTGGGTATCAGATAACTTATCTCAGAGATAAGAAAGCTAATACACCATCTATCTAATCCTAACAAAAACTCTATATGACCCATAGATCCTTGTTTTACAGTGGAGGAGAGCAAGGCACAAGAATAAACAACTTAGAGTTGTCTAATATCATATACTTGAGAGTTGGTAGAGTTGGGACTTGAACCCAGGATATGCCCAGTGATCTTGCTCTTAAACAAAATAGGATATAGGCAGATCATCCAAAAATGAGAGGGCAGAAAAAATGTCAAGACTCCTAAAACTGTGATTGACATACATAGATGCTATTTATTGAGCACTGACTGTATACTAGCCACTGTGTTAATTAGTATGGGAAGGCTAAAGATGAACAAGATACATTTGTTCTCAAAGAGACCATCATCTAGTTAGAGAATAGGAAGGAAATATAGGAATGTATACAAATCAAGTCTCAGCAGACTGGGACACATTCTATGATAGAACCACAGACAGAATGTTCCAGAACACTAAGGAAGGAGGTTCCTATGTCTGGCTTGTGGGAAGCTTTCTGGAGGCAGTGGCTTTGGAAGAATTGAAAGATTATGTTAACAGAAATGGGAAAATAAGGGATTCTAGGAAAGAAACAATGTGAGCAAAGACATGAGTGCTTTTTGGGGACAGCCAGTCATCTGCTTGGTTAGAAGGCATGAGATTTGTGCTGAGAAAGATTTTAGGTGGGACACCAGCATGACCTCAGGTCACACTGGCTCACCGTGAGGTGATGGTTTCTTTTCCCCTATGGAAAAATCCCAGCATGGTGCCAGCCGGTCTCAAAATCTAACCCTCACTCATCTCAACTTGGTCGGGGGTGTTGCTGTGTGGTGGATTGCGTACAGGGCCTTTGCACTGACCTACATTCCCAGCCCTTTTTGGTTTTATTTTCTGAGACAAGGCCTTGCTCAGTTGCCCAGGCTGGGTTTGAACTTGCAGTCCTCTTGCCTTAGCCTCCCAGAGTGCTTGGATCACAGGTCTGTGTCACTACCCCAGCTAATTCCACTTTTTAACACCAAATACAGAAAACGCCTCTCCTTCGGTGAGCAGTCAAGCTCTGCTTCCATCCTAACATGGTTTCGTTTTCATTGTCTTTATTTTTACAGTTGTGTCCTATTTAAGCCAATGATAGTTTTTTAAAAATTATTTATGTATTTTTTACAACAGATAAATTTAAGAAAAAGAGAGTTGATTTAAAGGGATAATTTTGAGTTACACATTCAGATGGTTCGTGGCTCTGACAAAAACTCCAAAGGCAGTACACAAATGACGTGCAGAACACCTTAGTGGAAAGTTTAAAAGCACATGAGGGGAGTAGAGGGGGAAGAAATCTGGAAAGGGGCCTGGGCACCATGGGCAGGAGGGTGGGTTTGATTCTGTTGACTATGGGCATGGGACATTGACTGAGGAGTAGGCAAGGACTGTGGCCAAGGTAGCCCTTGGCCGGGCTCACTGGGGCTTGCAGGAGTGAGCACCAGCTGGGCAGTGGTGGGGAGACTCACTGGGACCTGGCATAGCCACGGAGAGGTGCCTGGTTGAAAGAGGAGGGGTGTGCTTCAGAGCCTCATCAGCTATGCCATCTGCTTCCTGCTGATAGACAGGTTTGTTCTCCAGAGATGACCTTTCAGCCTCTCATCCTGCTGGCTCCTTGGCACCCCTCCCATGTGGCTCACTAGGATCATTCAACAGCTTCCTACTGAGACTCACAGGGGAAGGGGGGCACTATGGCTGGATATGGTTTGTTCCCTACAAAAGATTGTGTGCTGGAGGCTTGGTACCATTGCAATGGCACCGAGAGATGGTGGAACCTTTAAGAGGTGGCACCTAGTGGGAGGTCATTAGGTTATTGGGAAAACCACCCTTGGGAGGAAGTAATGCTCATTTCAGGGAGTGAGTGAGGTTTCTTAGAATTGGTTACCTTGAGGGGCTTGTTATGAAGCAAGTTTGGCTTTTTTGGCTCTCTCTGTTATTTTCTCTCTTACCCTGCATCCTCCCTCCCTCTCTCTCTCTCTCTCTCTCTCTCTCTCTCTCTCTCTCTCTCACACACACACACACACACACACACACACATACACGTAGCTGCCCTCACCCTGTGATATGCTTGCTCTTCCCTGAGGCCCTCTCAGGGAAGAGCATTGCCCATGCTATGCTCTTAGACCTCTGGAATTGTGAGCTCAAGAAACCTTTTTCTTTATAAAGTTTGTAGTCTCATGTACTGTATTACAGCAACAACGCTAATAACAACAAACCAGACTAACACATTGAGTGGAGATAACATCAGCAGAGGCTGGCTTGCCTCAGTCTCATTAGGCCTGGGAATTGGAAGTACAATCAGAAACGATGGAGAAGATTGAGTTTTGCCTCTCCAGTATGTATTTCTTCCTGGGGAAACGCTGGTATTTGCTTGACGGCCTGCAGCGATTCATTTTATTCCATAGGATGAACATCTGATTTTCCAGGACTTTCAGTTTCATCTCACTGAACAAAAGCCGTTCGAGGATCTTGTCCTGGAGAGCAAAGCAGGCATACATTTTCTCTACTTCTTTCATGCTCTTGGCATTGTTGTTGTTGGAGCCAGCTTCTGGTGTCTTTGGCTTCTCTTCCTTCACCTAAGCTCCTCACCACCAGGAAGAGGGAAAATTTGGTGAATAATGATAATCCCTTCCCACACCGAATACCTGCTCTCCCTGCCGTGATCTTAAATCAATTTTCACACCCGTCTACAAGGGGAGCACCTTCCCTTCATTTTGTGGATAATAGAATTAAGGTCCCCTGAAGAAAAGTCACATTCTCATTTTCATATAGACCCCAAGAATCCATGATGGCCTTTGGTTCACAGGAATAATCTGCCAGTTGCAGATGACATAAAGCCCTTAACTCAAATGATACCTGTCTCCAGGGTCATTTCCCACTGTGGCCCTCTGAGCATTTTTTCAGCCCCAGGAGAACCTCTGATTGCAAAGTCTCAGTGGTCTCCTCACATGCTCTTCCCTCTCTAATCATTAACTTTCCCCCGTTCCTCTCCTCTTAATTCGTAATACTGTTTTCTTCTTTTTTTGGATTCAGTTACAAACTTATGGATCTTTAATATTATTTATTTTATTATTTAATTTATTTTAGTAAATGTTACAAAAATATCCATATTCCCATACCATATTCCTTACTTAAGAAAAAAAATATCACAAATATAACTGAAATCCTCAATGGATCTCCATCTTACAAGTATTCCCCTGCCCTCCTGAAAATCATCTCATCAACTGTAATCCTGAATTTGATATTTATCTCTCCGTGGATTTTTTTCCAGCACTAGAGATTGAACCCAGAGTCTTTGCATTAGCTAAATCTCTAGCCCTTTATTAAAATTTTTAACAGGTCTCATTAAATTGTCCAGGCTGAGCTTGAACTTGCAATCCTCCTGCCTTGATTTCCCAGAATACAGGGATTATAAATATGTGCCACCATGCCTGGAATTCATGCATTTTTTTTATGGGAGGCTGTTTTGCCTCACTGGGTGACCTGTGGCAATGTCTGTAGATATTTTTGGTTGCCACAGGTGGGGGTGGGGTTATACTGGCATCTCCTGAGAAGAGACCAGGGATGCTGCTGAACTTCCAACAATGCACAAGACAGCCTTCATGACAAAGAATTATTCTTCTCGGAATGTAACATCAAGGTTGGGACATCTTGCCTCAAGATACTGTCACTATACATACGCAGCCATAAATAGTAGAAAGTATTGTTTTGCCTTTTCTTCTTCTTCTTCTTTTTAGACAAGTTCTCACTATGTAGTCCAGACTGCCTTGAACTCATTATATAGTCCAGGATGGTCTCTGACTCACAGTGATCCTCCTGCCTTAGCCTCCTAAGTGCTGGGGTTACAAGCACGAGCCACTACACCAGATACATGTTTTTAAAACTTATATAAAAGCTACTCCCTATAGTATGGATGTGGAATGTCCCCCAAAGGCCCATGGGTTAAAGGGTTGCTCCCCAGACAGTGGTGCTATTGGGAAGTGGTGGAACCTTTAAGAACTGGGGCCTAATGGGAGATTTTCAAGTCATAGAAGAGGGTTTTTTTTTTTTTTTTTTTTTTTTTTTTTTTTTTTTAGCTCCTTTTCAACTATCTGGCCAGGAGGTGAATGATTTTGCTCCACTGTGCCCACTCACCAGAGGCCTAAAAGCAATGGATCCACCTGACTATGGACTGGAACCTCCAAAACTGTAAGCCAAAATAAACTTTCCCTTTTCCCTTTATAAATTGATTATTTCAAGTATTTGTTACAGTAATAGAAAGCTAATACAGTTTCATCATCTATGTATATTTCTGCTATCTTATTATATTTTAGAGTTTTGTCTATGTTGGTACATGTATCTAGTTTATTCATTTAAGTATTTTTCCACTTAAAGTAGTTGATACTATTACTGAAGCAGGGAACACGTTGACATCAATCAGGAAAGAGGAGAGTCTAGGGTAGTCCCTATTTTATAGCTGAAGCAACTGAAGTCTTGTGGAGGGAAAGGATTTATCCACTATCACCCACAAGGAAATCACAGGGTAGGGACTTAGGCCAGAGTCTTGAATTCCTCAGTCTTGCCCCATTATCCTGACACCTTCTCTATTTCTGCTTCCCACCCAATCTAGCTGAATATCCCATAATCCTCAGTGACAGCTAAGCCCCCTCTTGCTCACCTGTGGGGGTTCTGAGGGGGTGGCTTTGGATTCATACTTGACCAGCCAGTTGCTAAGCAACAGAAGAAGGAACAGGAACCCAAACAAGAATGGCTTGTAGTATATCAGCCAAGTCACCAGTGCTCCTATCATGCCTGGTGAAGGGTAGAATGGAGACTCCTAAAAAGAAGTATTAATTCCCCCAACATTATGGTGCAGAGCACACAGGCCCCAGAACCCTGCCTTCATCTCCTCTATGACAGGAGTCACAGCCACCAGCTCCTCTGGGTCATAACCAGTTCCCTCCTACACCCAGCTGCCACATAACAATAATATAACTACTCTTACATCTTAAGCACCCACTATGTGCCAGGCTCTTTGACAGGCAGTTTGCAAGCACCAGCTCATGACGTCCTCACAAAAGCCAGGTGATGTAGGGCTTAGCCACATCTCACTTTTCATTCGACAGTACTTCTGGGTCCAGCCACTGTGTGCAAATTGGTCAATGACACACAGTACCTACACTCATGTGGGGGAGACTGCAGAGAAAAATGACCCAGGACTTGGAAGTAAAGCAAAAAGATTACTGTGTGCACATTCACAGTCATAATAGAATGTTGTTTAACAAGACTGTCTCCTGGTTACCTGAGAGGATAATTTCGTTTGAGTTACTTTTTTTTTTTTCTTCTTTCTTTTTTGAGACGGTCTCGCTATGCAGTTCAGGCTGGCCTTGAGCTCACTTTGTAGCCCAGGCTGGTCTCGAACTCGCAATGATCCTCCTGCCTCAGCCTCCCAAGTGCTGGGATTACAGGCGTGCACCACCACGCATGGCTGATTTACTATTTAATATTGATTAGGGTTCCTACTCTGTAAAGTCAGATGTTACTTTTAAAAAAACGGACAAGTTGCTCTAGCAATCCCACTTCTGGAAATATTATTCAGCCTCAAAAAGGAAGGAAATCGTGATGTGTTACAACACGACTGAAACTTGACATTATTCTAAGTGAAATGTGCCCAAAAAATACAGTAATGATTCTCTTTATATGAAGTACCTGGAGCAGTCAAATTTACAGAAGCGGTAGAATGGTGGCTGCCAGGGGCTGCAGGGTGGGGAGAAAGAGGAGTTATTGTTTAACAAGTTCAGAGTTTTGCAGATGAAGCATTCTAGAGATTATGTAACAATGTGAGTGTACTTAACACTACTGAATATTACACTTAAAATCGCTAAGATGGTACATTTTTAAGACAGTAAATTTTTATGTTATGTGCATTTTACCACAAAAACCCAAGACGAATTTAATCATTTCTGAGGAAAAACGGAAAAGTTGTAAGTTCATTTCTTTATTGCCAATAGATGCAAATGAATTCTGTCTAATAGAAAAGAAAACGCTAAACTTTACTGTCTTATGGACTTGAATATTAACTTTTTTCTTATTTAACTTTGCAACCTCATTCCAGCATTCTGCTCTCCACTGACTGGTGACCACAAAGCATTGTCTTATATCTTCCTTTGATCTAGTTTTATCCTGCTGGATCTTTCAATGGTGAGTTAAATGTCTGTAATATGCTTATTATTTTGTATGACAATTCTTTATCAGCTTTGCTGGGTGGGTGTGGTGGCGCACATCTGTAATTCCAGCTACTCAGGAAAATGCACAAACGTTAATCCTTTGCTTCTCTTCTTTCTCCTTAGCTGTTACCTCTATTTGCCTTGATATTTCTAAATAGCATACTTACACTATTTTTTCTTGTGGTCTCAATTGTGGCAGTATGTATACCTTTTATGATGGAAGATTTAGCTCCTATGCAAACCTCCTCCATCCCCACCTCATCAGCCCTTCCCAAAACCCCTTCATCTCTCTCGCTTGCAAACGCTCTTCTCTCCATTCTCCCAATATAATTCCATCACTTGGGTTATCCATCGATTATGTTTATTATGGCCACGTCAATGTAAGTTCACAGCAGAGACCTATATTGCACTGCGATTTCATTTTCTTTCTTGCCTAGCTTTTCTTGCCTGAGTTGGCACCTTCATTTGTTTAGTTTTTCTTTAATTCAACGTCATTGAAACAGCCTACATAAAACAAATATACCTATATTACATGTATGGTTTAATGAGTTTTGGCGAATATTTACACCCTTGTTACCAACACCCTAATCAAGATGCAAAGCATTGCCATTAGCCCCAGTAAATTTCCTCCTGCTCTCTAGCTGTCAACCCTCCACTGTCACAAGAAACCACTCTTTGGATTTTATCACTAAAAAGAGTTTTACCAGTTCCTGGATTTCATGTAAATGGACTAGTATTTCAAAAAGCTATACTTTGAAAAGACAAAAAGGCAAGCTGGGCGCGGGGCGCACATCTGCAATCCCAGCATGAAGCAGGCTGAAACAGGAGAATTGAGACGCTGTCTCAAAACAAAACAAAACAAAACAAAACAACAAAACAAAACAAGACCGGGAGTGTAGCTCAGTAGTAGAGCGCCCCTAGGTTCAAAAACTAGTACTGCAAAATGAATGAACGGATGAATGCAAGTGTAGATCTGTGTTAACAGTTGGAAATAAGTTCGGAGAACACAAGACCTGTTCCAATGTTGGATCCGGGAGGGTTTCCTGGAAAAATTAAATGAATAAACAACTCCATTATTAGAAAGAAATGATCTGGTGTAGCACAGGTGTCATGTGGGTGCTGATGGAGGGGACCTGGAGGTACGAGCGAGGGGCGTGAATGCGGAGGGGATCCAGACAGAAGGCAGAACACGAAGAGAAATTGCATTTGGAATCAAACGAGAGTTTCTGATTATTTCCATTCTCTTACCACCGAAACTCGTGAGCTCAAGTTTTTTCCAGTGCACGGAGGACAACACAGATAAATACGAAATCTACCGGTCCGCTTCAGTATTTTCACTCATTAGACTCTTTAAAAGCTCTTAAAAAGCGAGAATTTCATAATTCAACCTTTGTCCCGTAATAGCTATTAGTTAATACTCCTTGAATTGACTAATGGGAGAATGAATGAGAGAATGACGCAAGTGCCCGAAGGAAACTGTCGCCTTCGGAGGCGCAGTCTGGCCCAGAAGCCCGGAACTCTCCGCCTGCAAGGGTCGAGTCCCTCAGCTGCGGAGCCGCTCTAGCCAGCTCTGCGCACTCGCGCGCGGAGCCGCTCTAGCTTCCAGGATGCCGCTCTATGGCAGCTGGGAGGGGCGGGGCCCGTGGGCGGTGCGGGGCCTTTTTGTCTAGACGCGGCGGGAGCGCGCACAGCTCGAGCATACGCGGCGGCGTTTGGCGGCGCGCGGGTTGCGTGACGGGAGGCAAGGAGTGGAGAGGCTGCTCCGGACTCACGGAGCGACAGACCGAGTGGCTCTTGCGGCCGTGGGCTGCCAGGCGGCCTGAGATGTTGTCCGGAAAGAAGGCAGCGGCGGCGGCGGCGGCAGCGGCGGCGGCAGCGGCGGCCGGGACGGAGACCGGACCCGGG